CAGTGCCTTCGAGTATGATGGGTGACGCATCTGCCCACTCGTTGCGCATGACCTCGGTCTTGCTCCGGTTCATCGTGAGGCCAATAGCTTTGCCGACGTTGTTCAGTTCCTCCACCATCCGCTGTAGCTCTGCTGAGTTTTGACTGATAAGGACAATGTCGTCTGCGAATCGTAGGTTAGATAGCTTCTTTCCGTCGACGTTGATGCCTTTATCGTCCCAGTCGAGTTGCAGCATCGCGTGGTTGAGTGCGGTGGTGAACAGCCTCCTTTTTCAATCGGCACTCGTAGCTCTCGCTGAAAAATGCGGATGGTGGTAGATGTGTCTATGGTTTTCCAGCAGGTTTATGTAGCACGGGTCAACACCAGCATGGTGCAGCGTTTTCGTATAGTCGACGGAGCAGAGGAGGAGCGGCTGCTTGTATTCCTTGGTTCGCTCAATCAACTGCGTGACAGTATGGATGTGGTTCATGCAACATGCTATTATACTAGTTGGAACAACTTTCCGATGAGGACGTTTCTCTGTCGCGGCAAGTCTAACTGTCTCTATGAGCAACTGAGTGTTATACATCTTTCAGTGCAACTTAGGGTATTTCAAAGTAATTCATACAAATGAAGAAGACAGAAGTCAGAAACGCTCACCTCTGGCGCTAACAGTGGCAATCCAAGGGAACTCATTCAGTTTGAGTTTTTTTCCACCGAACACTTTAAATGCTTTCCCGTCTTCTAAAACATAAATACAGCAGCTTTACCTAAAAAAATCTAGTAGCGAGTTACTTCAAAGCAATAACATATAAGCTACCTTTGATATTCCAAAACGAATGATTCTGAGCTAGGAAAAAAACAAATGGGATCTCTCATTTCAAAACAACTTCAGTTCAGCGTTCAGGAGCTTTTGCACTCCTCATTCTAGAGGAAGATCAACAGGAGACATACAAATTTAACTCAGTTGAATGAGGAGGTGATGCTGCGGCATGTGGCTAGCCCTGGTCCTCAGCTGCTCTGTTTGCCAGTTGGATCTAGGTTCGACTCTCATCCATGTCACAAGTCTTACATCTCTTCCATGTCGATCAATTGACACAAAACTTGCCTGGATTGCGTTCATACTTTGCGGCAACGTCCACCAGCGTCTGCTAGCGTCCATCAGCGAACCACTAGCGTTCCGGGAGCCCGGCAGCGTCAGCGGCTGGGGAAAGTATGGATAACGACCTAGAGAGTCCACCAGCGCCAGAGAGAGTCCACCAGCGCCAGAGTCCACCAGCGTTCACCAACAACCCGGAGCAGAGAGTATATGGAAGTAGGAGGGTGACAAACAGCTGGATTGAGTATTGTGAAATTGCGGCGTGTGCAACCCATCACACAACTCCTGAAGCACAGAATTGTGCCCTTTAATTTACGGCATAGTATAGTTGTACGGTGCGGGTGCACACGCCGCGACTTCACGACGCCTAATTCAACTGTTTGCCACCCTCCTACGTGCCCATACTCTCTACACCCAGTCGGTGGTGATCGGTGCCGGACGCTGGCACGCGCAGGCAGATGCTAGATCGATATATTTACTTCCCTGTCCCTCAAGACGCTGGAGGACGCTAGATTGTTATCTAAACTTTTTTATTCGCTGACGGCGCTAAGAATGCTGGTTGCTGGTGGGTGCTGATAGACGCTGGTGGATGCCGCAAAGTTTGAACGCAGCTCTGGGGAAACAATGACTTGTTCAGCAGTTGTTTTCCCTCCTATCGCTTCAGAAGTCTTTGCCTGGACTAAAAAGTGTGACATACACTCAAATTACTAGTAGGGTTTGGAGTGAAAGCAGAATGTCCTTCAATGAACACAGCTTCGTTCAGACATACATACAACCCTTATCCCAGAAACGGAGCAAGCGTGGAGTTTGGACCTGGCATAGGGAGGGTTAGTGCGGTATTCCAACTTGATACAACTGTCATCTTGATCAGTTTTGCATAGAAACATGACCGCAATTGTGTGAAAATGAATATATCTCTTCAAAAGCACTGCCACCGCCACGTCTGGTTGGATCACGCAGCCACGTCTGCAACATCGCAAGGAGTTCTACTGTAACAAGGTTTAAATATCTACAGAGAGCTGAAAAATAAGAAGTCTTCCTATTTTTAATAGGAGCTACTCAGGTCTGGTCTGAAGACCTGCATCAGCTACGAAAGAATGTCTCTCCGTTCCTCTAAAGACATTTCCATCTAGAGACTTCAGTGAGCGCGCAGTACATCTCTTCTACTTACGGTCTTTACAAGTTTAAGTACTGAGACGCTGATCAACCACTGTGTGTCGATGCTGGGGTGGGTATCCATTGGCTTGATTAGGGTTGGTTAGGGTGTATGGACTGGTTCCTCTAGTAGCATTAAAGGGCCGTTCCGGTTTGGACAGATAGTTCAACCGTATATGAACACAAGGAAAGGGAGTATGGGTGTACGAAGTATTATCGCCTTACAAAGTCGACCTACAACCCTACCTACCGCCCCTAATTTTTGTGAAATCGACGGTTTGTGCCGGGTTAATCCGTCACAAACCGTCCTTTGCCATAACTTCCGTCAAAGTTGTCAAAGTGATGCGAAAATGAGACCAGACCATAGCCTTATACAAGACAAATTCAATGATGTATGAGCCTTCCACTTTCCTTCAGTTTTTCGGTGACTTTCCGAGGAAATTGAGGTTTGAGTCTCCAGCAACTAAGGTGTTACCTGCGGACACGGTTTATGAACCCAGTCCAATTGTGGAGTCCGAACAAACTAACAGCATGATGAGACAGCATGCATTCCTTGATTTCCGGTTTGAATCGGCTATATCATGACACGAGGAACCGTATCTAATTTATGGCCAACAAAAAAACTAACACTGCCTGCATAGAATATGATGAATAGCTTGGACGTGCGCTTTCGAAAATTCGAGTTCACAGAATTTTAAATCTATGAAGTTGAAAAGGGTGCTGAAAAGACGAAATGCTGCAACCAGTGATAATTACTATTCGCTTATCTAAGTTTCCATTCTGATAGTCATTCAGTTTCTCTCCTTCATTCTTCAAATGAATGAGTTTTAGGGGCGGTATTGCACCATCTGGTTGTCTACTTGCTTTTGGTATTGCCGAGACTGCGCGGTGAGATGAACCTTCTGTCTGTTCCATGTTTGAATTTCTGTATCGCAAAAAACCGTTTTGAAAAAGCACTCCATAATTTGGAAGATACCGCTACTCCCCTTGTAAGGAATGTAAGGAATAATTGCAAAAGAAAGAAGATCAAAGGGACCAGTCCTTCATTCCCTGACTGAAAATGGTTCCTTCATCTGAATGACTCATAAAAACTTTACTACATGCCAGAAGATCCAACGAATTTGTCATAGAAGATACCAATTGTCATTCCATCCTGCATATGTTACAAGTGGTGAACATTTCTCAATGACTAAAGCTAAACACTGAAATAACATGATATTCCCGTGAACCAGGGCGCTCCAAGACCAAAAGAAGTGTGGGAGTTTTTTGTGGAGGAGGTTTTCACGGTCTGTGAAATGCAAATAAAAAGGAAATGTTATAATAAGAGTGCTGAGATGACCCGGTAGCGTAATGGATAACGCAACAGCCCGGTAAGTAGGAGATGCGGGTACGAATTCCGACTTTTACCTATATCTCAGCATTCTTGTGATAACTTTCGGAGCGCGCACTGCGGCGTTAAACATCGAACTAAAGCAACTTTAGAACAATATTATAATTAATGTTGTCAGTTTGGCATACCGTAGCCCTACCAGGCGTAAAATAAACTGTATCGACGTCGTGGACACACACACCTCCGTCAACCACGCGCCAAACCAAGTTCACCACCACGGCAAGCGAGGGTGAAAGAGTTTGCCCTCGCTTCCCAGCCGTACCTCTAGCCAACTCTCCCACAATGGCTAGATCCCTGTACCGTTATGGTCAACCTGTTCCGAGACAAATCATTAGGTGTTAACTTTCCAAAAAACTTACCAAGGAAATGTTTTCCGCAGTTTTCTTCAACTTCCTCGCTTTCCACTGAAGAAATCTTAGCGGAATGTACTAGTTGGAAGTGAAGTAGCCATATGAGGACCACCATCTGAATGAAAATAAATAAAAAAACCGAAAATTAAATTATGTTAAGGACCGAGAAGAGGATCAGAGCTCAGAACTTGGAAAAGGATGGAGCTCTCCATGTTACTCAGCCCATTAATAAGGTGCGCTGCTCGTCTGACTTCCATGCAAGAGCAATTCGGCCCCAATGGAGAACAGCAAAATCGAAAAGCAGCTCACAAAGTTGGGAAAATATCATGCAGAGACGAGAAAGTTGTTATATCTCTAATTGTAAGAAAAATAATAGAGTCATCACAGTGACACCGATAAGCACGAAAAATCTTTTGAAAGGACCAGTTCATCCTCTCCACGACCAAAAGGATGAAGAAAGCTTCGTATGACGCCGAATAGCATTCCAAGGATTTGGACCCAATAATCGAGTCTGGTGCTTTACCCTGCTTGGGAAAGTGGTACTTTTCCTGAATGTAAGGACCGTCTATCGGAGCGTCATTGCTTGGACCAAGTACAGGCTTTCTAATCTTGATTAAAGCCGGATCCATGGCTATTACAGAAAGATAGCTGGACAACATCGCACCATTTTTCGTCGAATTATTCGGCCGAATAAAAAATACCACCGAGATGTTCAGGACACAGACAGCTCGAAACAGGAATTTGATTCAAATATATTTGAAGGCGACACTATATTGACTTCTCATGCTTAGGGAATGTGAATCACAAGAAAATTTGCTATGATTCCAATGCTACTGAAAGGGAGCAACTTCTCCAAGTCATCAAAAATGCCTTATTGATTACTTCTTCTGTCTTTTTTGAGCTTGTTTTTTTATGAATATGCTTTAGCAAGCAAAAATCTCAATATCAGCTAAGTGTCGAACTGCTTTCTCGGAGCATCATGCTATACACTGGAGGGGCTTCCAGTATGCATGTTCATTCATCTGCGTGCAGGGTGGGGCGTACGCTGGGAATGTTCAGCGAAGGAGGTCGCATTTAGATGCAGGAGGGACTGGGTCGTATTTCTCAGGAAAAATATGAGGAGAATGTTCTCAGTTGTTAATTTTCCCCGATTTTTCTGTTCCATGTGCCTTTTATGCGTCCTCCCCCATCTCGGCCGGAAACAGCTGATCGCCCTGGAGAAAATGGCCAAATTAGGCTGGGAACAGCTGATCGCAGTGTTC